AAGACATTTATGAGAAGTATTATAATATTCTTTCAGAAGAGGGGAAACATACCTATGGAATGCATTATACTGGGCAAGAAGCTATTACGATAAGTGCTACACTTTGATCAAATATCCTGCAGCCTATTAGTTGCTTACATTTACCCTTTGGTTCAAGTTATGCCTTTTGGAGAAATACTGAACAAGTCTTTTCATTTTTTATGTGACAGCCCTCTGAATATTTGAAGTTGTTTATTGTATCTTCATGTTAAAATAGCCCCTAGTTCATTTATTTCTGCATTTGTTCAATATTTAATTAAAATTTTTTAAGTGTTACGTCTTCTTGATGTATTGTCCCCTTTATCTTTATAAAATGTCCATGTTTGTGTCTTGTTATCATTTTTACCTTGAAATCTATTTTGTTAGATAGAGGTATGACTACATCCACTTTTCTCTGGATGCCATTTGCTTGGAGTATCATTTTCCATCCTTTTGCTTTGAGTCTGTATTTGTCCTTGCAGCTGTGATGTGTCTCCTGAAGGCAACATATAGATGGGTTTTGTTTTTTAATTTAGTCTGCTATTCTGTGCCTTTTTATTGGTGAGTTTAGTCTGCTTACATTTAGTGTGATTATTAATAATAAGAATTTCATATAGTCATTTTATCTTTTGTTTTCTGGTAGCTCTATGTCTCCATTATTTCTTTTCTCTTGTCTGTTATTTTAGTTTGGTGTTATGCTATAATTTTTTTCCTCCATTTCTTTTTTTTTAATGTTATCTGTCCAGTTCTGGATTTTGTGTGTGTGTGTGTGTATAGTTACCACTAGGCTTATGCAAAAAAAAGGGGGGGAGGGTTATATGCAATAGTCCTTTTTCCTCTGAATATCTTATCTCCATTCTCCTTTGCAAATTCAGACCTTTACTTCCCTTTTTGTTTTTGTCAATTATCCCTATTTATGCTGTGAGTTAGTTTCTGAATCACAATAGTTATTGTCTTCTTCTCTCTTTTAAAATGTTTTTATCTCCTTTAACCTTTACATTAGATTTAAGTGTTTAATATCCTATTCTGAATAAGGGTTGCAATTTCCTCCTTCGATATGTCATCTTATACATAATTTCGTATCTTTTTGTCTTTTTGTTTCAGGTAGAGTAACCCCCTTTCATATTTCCTGTAATGAAGGTCTTGAGGTGGTAAAGTCTTTCAACTTCTGTATGTCTGGAAAAGTCTTTATTTTTCTTTCATATCGAAAGGATAACTTTGCTGGTTATATTTTTCTTGACTGGTAATTTGTCTTTCATTAGTTTGAATATTTGATTTCACTTTCTCTTAGCTTGTAGGGTTGCTTCTTAAAATCTGATGATAATTGAATGGGAATTTCTTTATAGGTTACTGTCTTCTTTACCCAAGCTACCTTGAGAATTCTCTATCATTAATTCAAGAATCCAGCTCTCTTCATAGGTTTAGGAATTTCTCATTGACTTTTTGTTTGAAAAGGCTCTATTTTCCCTTCTCCCTCTCTTCTCCTGGTATACCCATTATCCTTATATTGCTCTTTCTAATAAACTCAGATAGTTATCACGAAGTTCTTTCTTTTTTTTTTAACACTCAAGTCTCTCTTCTTCTAACTGCACAGTTTCTAAATTCTATCTTTAATATCACTAATTCTTTCTTCCATCTGGTCAGCTCTATTTTCTAAGCTCTCTAGTTCATTCTTCATCTCTTTTATTGAGTTTTTCAGCTCCAGAATTTCTATTTGATTCTTTTTTAGAATTTCAATATCTTTGGTACTCTTTCTGTTTATTGATTTTGTTTCTGAGTTAAAGAAACTGCCTATCTGAGTTTTCTTGTATTTTGTTGTTTTTTCAGAACTGTAATCTTGAATTCTCCGTCATTTAAATTACACATTTTTGTCTTTTTTTCTGTTTTTTTTTTCATTTTCTTTCTCCGTTGCCTTGTTACCTTGGTTGTTCATAGTATTTGATGGATTATTCCTCTGCTGAGGCATTTATGAAAATGAAATCTGCTTTTTTTTTTTTTAAGAATAACACTTCTCTAATAGGTTGATAAGAGGTCTTTCTTTTGATTTCCACCAGGTGGCGCTGAATCACAAGTTTGTTTTTTCTCTTGCACTGCTTCAGCTTCTCAGATCTCTGCAGGGTGGTGGAAAATGCCCTTGGACTTGGATGTCTCCTGTGTGAGCAGGTTGCCTCAGTCTCAGGGCACTACCGCCCTGGAGGAATGTGGTGGATGATGGGGTTCTGATCCTATTAAATCCCAGCACAGCCCCTTGCAACCAGACGCTGCCAGGAGTGCTTCACTAACCAAGGTGTCCCAGGTGCCCCACTGGGACCAGCTGTGATGAATGCGGATGAAATGGCCTGGGAGAGGCCAGCTCCTGTGGTTGTGGCTTTGTTTTCCACCCAATAATGGTGACTGCCAAACCTCAGCTGCCTCACCTCTGTATCTCAGCCTGTCACTGGGATTAGCTGGGCAGTGTCCATCTGCTACTCAGGGAGAAATTCTTCTGCCTTACTTATTCTCAGGGCTGCAAATAATGTGCTCTGTAACCTGACACTCACTGCTACAGTTGCTTCTGGGGCCCACTACTAGCTCTGGGAGGGTGGGGGAGGCAGCCAGGCTCTGTGGCTTTGTTTTCCGCCTGGCAATAGCGGCTGCTGGACCACATCTGCCACACCTCCATATTCCGTCTCTGCCAGGGTCACTGATTTCAGCTGCAGTATGGGCTGGCCACCCAAGCAAGAATACTCACTGTATCTCTCTGCTCCTCACGGCTGCAGAGTGCACACTGCAACCTGATTCCTCCCTTCTCCAGAGACCCATGGCACCCATCTCTGCCTTTTCTCTCTACCCTCTTCCCCTGTTCAACTCGTAACTTCAAGGGGAGGGTCCAGGGGAACTTCTGGTGTCTCCATGCTTTTGACATCACCTCCCAATTTTTTTTTTTATCTTTTTCTTATTTTTAAACTTTAAAAAATAGCTTTATCGAGATATAATTGACATACCATATATTTCACCCATTTAAAGTGTACTATTCAATTGCATTAATTATTTACACTGCTGTGTAACCATCACCACTATTTCCAAAATTTTCATCACTCCAAACTGTTCAGATTCTCTATTTCTTCTTGAGTTAATTTCAGTATTTGGGATATTTCCACCTTTGCAGGAATTGTTTCCATTTTATCTAAGTTGTTTAGTTTGTTGACATAAAATTGTTCATATTGTTCTTATAATCCCTTTAAATATTATAAATTTGATGAATTTCTCATTTTTTGGTGACTTTTTTGATGATCGGTCTGTCAATTTTGTTGATCTTTTTAAAAAACTAATTTTTTAAAACGTCACTGATTTTTCTCTAATGTTTGTCCTTTTTCTTTCTTTCCTCCTTCTTCCTTTGGGTTTTCTTCCCCCTCCCCAACTCTCTGCCCTATTACATAAGTGGATTCTTAGGTTATTGATTTGAGAATTTTTTCCTTTTCCTATATAGGTGTTTGTAGCTTTAAATTTCCCTCTAAGCACTGCTTTACCTTCATGCCATACATCCTGGTGTGTTTTTATTTTTATTCAGCACAAAATATTTAGATTTTTCTTGTGATTTCTTCTTGACCAATTAGTAAAAGTTTTTTGGTTTAATTTCCAAGTATTTGTAGACTTCTCAAATTTCCTTCTGCTACTGATTTCTAATATAATTCGATTGCGGTAGGAAAAATACTTTGTATGATTTTATTCCCTTAATTTTACTGCCATTTGTTCTATGGTCTGAAGCATATTTCATATATGCCTAAAAATAATGTAGATTTTGCTGTTGATAGATGAAATGTTCTGTAGATGACATTTAAATTGGTCGATAGGGCCATTCAAGGTTTTTATATCCTTGCTGATCAGGGTTATATTTTAAAAACATAAAATAGATAACCTCATTCATATGAAATCTGTGGCTTTCCACTGATTTTAGAATAAAATCAGATTTCTTCACACTGCTGCCTATCTTTATGCATTCATCACGTACCATTATTCATTTTGCTCAATTAACTAAATTAACAAGATAAAGCTACCCTTGCATCCTGTTATTGATATAAAAATCTACCATACAAATATAATTAAGATAGTACTGCTACAAGGATAAACAAGCTGACCAGTGGAACAGAGTACAGAAATATGCCCACACATATATGATCACTTTACATAAGACAAAATGAAAAACTGTGGTATAGTGAGGAAGGGAAGGTTTTTCTCAATAAATGGTACTGGGACAGCTGGAAATCCATAAAGGAAAACTTCTACCTTAAACCGCACCTCACACTATTAACAAAAATCAATTCAGTATGATTTCAGATTTAAAAGTGAAAGGTAAAACAAAAAAGATTTTAGAAGAATACAAGAACATTTTTATATTTGAGTAGACAGATGTTTAAACAAAATATGCCAACTATGAAGAACAATTTAGCAATATTTACAATTGGTAAATTGTAATTTAATATAGAATTGGTAAATTGTACTATATTAAGAGCTTCTTTTTCATCAAATACATTCTCACAACATAATATATTCAACAAAGAATTTGTATCGAGAATAAATATTTTTAAAAACTAACAAGTCAATAAAAAAGACAGAAGCCCAATAGAAAAAAAAGCAAGTTGAACAGATATTTCACAAGAGGATACTCAAAGGCCAGTAAACGTATATGAAGTGTTCAATCCTCTTAATAATCAGTGAAATAAAACTAAAGCCACACAGATATCGCTTATATGTGTGCCAGAATAAAATGGAAAAGACTGACACCCCCAAATGTTGGCGAAAATGTTAGACAGCTGGAAACTGTCTAACATTTGGGAAACTGGCCGTACCCAGTAAAGCTGAACATAATGTATGCATTGCGACCCTACAATTCCACTCTTAGGCAGAAATGTGTACCTTTGTGCACCAAAATTCATGTACTAGAATATTTGAAGCAGTACTATTAATATTTGTTCCTAAACTAGGAATGAATCAAACATCCATCAGATAAATAATATGTGGTTTATTCATGTAGTGGAATACTATACTATGAGAACCATGATCAAACACATGCAACAAAAATCTCACATAATGTTGATAAGCCAGATACAAAATACAGTTTGATTCTATTCATTCTATTTGAAACCGAACAAAACTAATATACGCTCTTAGAAATTTGGATAAGTATTTACCCTTGGGGAGTTAGTAATGGGAGTATGAGAGGGTTTCCAGGACACTAGTGATATTGTTTGATCTGTGTGCTGATGGTATGCATATGGTCCACTTGTGAAAAATCACTGACTTGTTTATACATGTTACATTTCAGTAAGTTAAAATGATTTGCCTCAGCCTGCATAATCAGCTGACTGAAGAAACGATGTCTTCTCTTGGATTCCCCTTGGCTACACTCTCAACTCCAAACTGCCACTTCCAAACAGTGGAGGTGAAGCACTCCTTCATTCCCCAACATACAAACTAAACTAGATTTGTTACAGATCTGGTTGCTAAAAGAGGTCTACCAAAATGTGAAATCAAGTCTACCTTTGCCTTCCTGCCTGTTGATTACTTTCTCCCCTCTGCCCCCATGTGCCCAAATGTCCTCTGCTGTCTCTGTCCCAATGCCTCTTATTCAGAAGTAACTGCTCCTCTCAAGGAACATTTAAATAATTATAAAAGTTTTGAACCAAAAAGAGGGGAGATAGTTATCATTTCAAGTTGCAGACAGTGGATGGGTGAGGAGTCATCTGAGCCTTTCTAACACCCCTGGAGGAAGATAACATGCAATTGAACCTTACTTGAGGGATAGGGATGTTCAAATCTTGGATCTGCCTTGATCAAGTTTGTATCCTCTCTATGCTTGTTTCCTCGTCATTAGGGTTATCCCTATCCTTTACCTGTTGTTATAAGGACTGACATGAGATAGCTTAATAAATGTTAGCTGTCAACTTGCTTTATCCAAGGTATGCTGTCCCCAAGGAAGCAGGACCCAGGAGTTCACACAGCAGAGGGCTTCATGCTGACTGTAAGTGATCCCAGGCAAATTTAGTGGGTGTCCCATATTTGTTCAGTATTGTAGTGAGGAACAGACACACATGCTTCATGGCTAAATGGGAGAAGAAAAATTGAGGACACAAGGTGGAGTTGACTGTACCCAGCCCAATATATATCTGCTGAAAAGGTCTATAAATAAGTGTAGCACCTACTGCATCAATTGCCTTCAAAGAATCTGTAATGTCAGAGGGCAGAAAAACAAACTTATCAAGTGTGTAGTATTTGATATAACAGAAACATGGAAAGTGGTGACAACTATGCTTTCTAGTTGACCAAAGGGCCAGAAAACGCCACAGGCATTTTGGTACAGCTTTGTTTATAGAGCCCTGTTCCCTGCATCTGGCCTCTACTGTGAAGATCCAGAGACCTTGGCAGTGACTGCCTCATGATACATACAAAGCCTGAGGTAGACAAAAGTCAATTTATCAACAGTGAAAAATAATATTCAACTAGAATATCCATACTGGCATTTTCTCCCTGTAGGCACACCTACACAAGAAGCTAAATCTTCATTAGAATACTTTTCATTGATTTCCACTTTAATCTTTATTTCCTTCTTCCTTTGGGTTTAGTTTGCTTCTCCCTCCCTACCTATCCACCCAATTATATAAGTGGAATCTTAGGTTATGGATCTGAGATTTTTTTTTCCTTTCCCAATACAGAAGACATATCAAAATAACATAAGGGCAATAAGCTAATGAAGACTGAAGAATAAATTCCCAAAAGACCTAATGGGACTGGAGATCTAGACATCTGAGAGCTTTTTTCTGCCTCTCCACTGATGATTACATTGCACCCTTCCTCAAAGCCTGTGTCTTTGTACCTGCTCTGATACGATTGTTATTAACACAAATTTAGACAGCAATCATATTTCCTCAATTTACAGTTTGGGGAAGGGGTAAAGCTAGGAAACTCTGTACTGACAATTATACAGATTAGTTAAAAGAAGTTGAAGTCTCTAATCAATGCCTTCTCTCCCTGAAGGCAAATTTCCTCAGGGAGTCACACTAGAACCAGAGGGTTGGTGGGCACTGAAAGAGCAGTTACTACCTGCAGGTTTCCAGCTTTCTACAGGTTAGAATACCTCCCGTTTGAATACAGCTGGAAATGGCCAGTTTCTCTCCCTGAACACTGTGGCTACACAGTGCTTTTCCTTTAGTACAGTCAAGGTTCAAATAATTCAATTTGAGCATTTTTAGTTATACCACAATTCAGCCATGTTCCCAGGTCAGTCCTCCCAATCTCAGGTTGTGTCTTTTCCACAAACAGCTGATTTGATCTTAATTTCTACTTTCATCATCAGAGGCTAACTGAATGGCAGGTCTGGGAGAGCTCTGCAGGCACTCCCCTGAACGGCTTACATCACTGACCCTACAGTGAAAAGCTATGCCCCTCCTTCTCCTAACAGTTACAAGTCTTGAATGGAAAATTACCAAATATTTAGACTGTAGGTATGAGTGTGGGGAAGTCCTACCAGCTTCTGCCTTGGTGATGGTGAGTAGGGGCTACCTTTTCTTAAGAGTGCAAGTCACTGCCCAGACACTTAATCGCAGCAAGATGTCGGGGAGTGAAAGGGAACAGCGGAGAAGGCAACAAGGCCAATAAACCTCACAGGAAAGGGCAACTGCCAGAACTCCACATCCTCAGGTGTGGCTCTGCACCTCTCCTGCACATACAACAGCTTTCTTAAACCCCAGAGCCCGGCTCCATCCACTCAAGCTATTTTGCTCTTTTCTACCCACTGAAAGTCCTGAACCTTCTTTTTCGCTCTGCTTTGTATTACCAACAATTACTCGATCCTTTGGGGGATTCTTCTCTCCCCCAAATTAACCATGCAGTGGAAAGAGGCTAAAAATGTTTTATTACTTGCTTAGAATTAACTAAGACCATTAAATGAAAATAGTGATAAGAAATAATAAAGCAGATTTTCATGCACTACTGAATCATCAATACTTTCTGGTACTTTCCCCAAAACTAAAATGAACCTGGCTATGTAACTAACACTCAGAGCTCACCATCTCCACTTCCCTAGCATCATTACAAAACTTTAGCTAGCTAACAGCAGCTACCATCGTCAGCAGTACTATTATTTATTTCCCCAAATGACTTATGGCAAACCACCACCAAGGCAAAAAGACTTTAATTTTTGTAAACTGGTAACAGTTTGGAGATTGACAGATTGCAGAAGAAACAGAAATCAGGTAACCCATGTTCTGCTAAAAGATGTGCTACTCCAAATCATGAACAATGACATATATAAACAAATTAAGAGACTACACTTTTTAAACAAGTACTCTGGATAATTATAGAAAGTAATGCCTTTTTCAACATGCTTTAAAAATAATTTTTAAAAGAATATGCAATAATTTCTCTGCTTTGCTCTTTAAACTTTTCACTACATCTAAAAATTAGCAATTTTTCCAAACAGTGATATAAAGTAAAGACAATAGTTCACCTAGCTGTCAGTTTTGGAAGTGTAGTCAAGAAGCCAAGGCTGATGATTGTAATGGTTTGAAATGGCAAACACAAATTCTAAATGGTGATGAGACGATGAATCCTACCTGTCCAAAGTATGACAGTGTAATGGAAGAATAGATACTGCTTCTTTCTGGGCCAAAGGGGGTAACAGGTCTATAGCACGTAGCACTAGTAACCTAGAACTAACATGGGGAGAATTAATTTGAAGTCTGTCAGCTTTTAACAGTCACATCCTCCTACTGTAGTTTGGTATCTAATTTTAGGAAAATGTGTAACAAGGTTTACATGAGAGGTTTTCATTACATCTTGAGAAAAAACAACTACCCCATTTTTGTTCAACAAAGCTAAATCTAATTACATTCTTGATAACCAGAAACATTAATTGCTATGGTAGGAAATTCTTTAGAGAAACCCCACAAATCCAAAGCAATTCTATTCTGGTATCCAAAATGTTCTATCCAGTTCCAGAATTGCATTATATTAGCAAATAAAGTAGTTACTATTTATAACAAAATGTAATAACTGGATAAAATTCTAGGTAAATAACTTTTATAACAATCTAAAATTAATTTTAAACTTATAACTTTAGCAATACATATTGAACACTTACATTCAACTGTACAGAATGCAATCCATTTAATCTTGAAAAACACTATGTAACCTAACTATGGAAATGAGAGTACACACCTACAAACCAGTATGCTCCCTCATCAATTCTACAACTATAATAAATTTAATACTGTAAACATTGAACAGATCAGAGCACTGTGGAAAGTTAAGCGGCTTTAGCAAGTCATAGTATAATTTTTATGAGCTCAGACAGTAGAGGCAAATGGAATTTTTAGAACATTACTTAAAAATAGATTTTTAAAGATGAAGGTCCCAACTCATTCTTATATACACACACACAAAAGTTCATCTGTCACAGACAGCAAGTATTGAATTTATACACTGGAGTTTTCGGCACCATCTGTACATTTAGAATAATTAAAATAAACAAAGCTGTCAAATCTATCTAAGGTGGATCATTCAAATCTGTATAAGATGGAACACAGCTGGCCTGCTGCTCACCGCTGCTTCTCAAATGCAAAAACCAAGTAAATACCTAAAAAATAAGTAAATAAAAGTTAGAGTGTGGTTTTTGATATCCTCAGGGTAAACAAAAAATCTGTCTTATTCACATTTTGGTGAAAATTCTTAGGCTCTCAAGCAAATTTGGAGAGGAAAAATCCCATTATTTCTGAGAGTTCCTAAATTACTTTGAGTCATTTAAGCAGATATGGGATCACATGTGATATTTATTTGAAAACAAATGTCTACATACAGTAATACTCAGTGACATCACAGCCCTTGAGAAAACCAATTCAACAGCTCTAAAAATATCTAAAAACAACTTGCAATAAGAAAATGTAAAAGTATAAAAGAAAATTAAAACTAAAATATCTTATGACTTAATTCTTTTTATCTGGAGTAAGACAGGTAAAGTTTTTTATTCAGAAAAAACTAATAAGAAGAATTATAGGAAACACATATAACGTCAATATTAAAATTCTAATTATTGAATTGCTTTATTGTAGGGTCGGTAAGGAAAAAGAGTCAAAAATAATATGGTAATTGACACTCTAAGATATTAATCTGGCCCCAACTGTGATTTTCCTGCACAAATCCAACCCCAAGAGTACTCTCCTCTAAATAACGTATCCTGCGTTAATGAATATTCACTCTAAGACATAGAAGTGTATCTCTCCATTCTGAATCACACTGAAGTTCAAACCTATAATATTTTCTAATAAGAGACCAATAGATTTTATGGTGAAAAAATACTTGAAAAGATGACAAACCTTCGCAACATCACAAGAATGTTCCAGTTGTGCACTAGGCTATTCATTCAACCAGCAAGTCATAACAGGCCACATAACTTGGGAGTCCTTGCTCCTTAACTCTTGATCAGGGAATAGATGAAGGATGGCAGACTACGTACAACCTCCTGATCCTTCAGCTTTTTGCCCTTCCAATCCAATCTTCACAGGAGTACCATCATACCCCTCTTTCCAAAATACGACTTTGGTCATGCTATTCTCTGCTTCTATCTACTAGCCCCCAAATTTTTTTTTTTTTTTTAGGTAAAATGAAATGTGGTTAGCAGCAAACGGGTGGACAGAAAACAGGCAGGGTGATAATCAACACTATAGATTCTTTTAGAGAATGAGGAAGCAAAGCAGTCTAAAGCATTCGCAAATATATAACAAGATTTAGAAGAGGGCAGCATTACTTACCTTGTCCCACACTCCAAGACTGCAGTGTAACTCTGCCAAACCCACCCCGAACATACCTATACTTACTGCA